ATTCAGGTCAGGTGACCTACTTGGATATTCCATCTTCTTTAGGTACTCAGCCCCCTTCCATTCCAGGTAGGCGAGAGTTTCTCCAACGCCCTTCGATTCCACGTGGTGGCACCCAATGCTGTAGCAGTACAAAGTTTCCAAGAAGGTACGGGCGACGACATGTGGAAGATATTCTTTTGTAGGGACACCTCTACAGACACTCAGCTTTTTTTTGATGACTGCCAATTAGCAATTGGAGTGCTTTTTCCGGAAGTGTGCTACACTCAGCTGTTAGGAAGTCTTCAAACATGCTGCAATTCTCAACAGACTTTTTCTTGTTGCTGGAGTCCCTTTCTTAAACAATTTATGAAAAATGCAGTGCGAACGACTATGTAAGGACGACAACGAGTCCCGCGAAATTCAGACTTTTGGCAGGCGGTTTACGGATCTTCCCATCTGCTATACTGTCTGAGTGGTTTCGTAAAAGTGCTGTACTAGGTCTTTCGGGGTAATTCAGTCTTTAATGTAATAAGGCTCGTATCCACTGAATGCACTGTTTCATTCAGATGAGGTCTAAAAAATGACTGCGAAAATTTATTCAATGGCCGCTTTAGACTTGAAAATCATAGGAATCCGTTCTGAACCTTGTAAGGTAATTTGCAGAGAAGATCTTCACATTCGATTTTTCCGGTTCAGGGAGCTTAATAAATTCACACACAGTGTTATTCCATGCACAACCCGCAATAGTTTGGTTCCAGCTTCCTATTTCGTACAGCTGCACGCCAAGGGAACGCTGAAATGGGATACGTGACTGACTGACACCATCCATAAAAAATGAGGGTATGTTCCTCACTTGGTGTTGTAGATACAAAGACCGAGGCTTTGACTGTGCTTCCGCTGTGTACACTGTTCGTATGTGGCAACCGACGTTCGAAATGCCCTGTCGTAAGCCACTCTAAAAAAAAATCGTTCTTAAATGTATATCGTGATCATGAGAAGCTGAAACTAAATGTGTAACTTACATTGGCAAAAGGGTACAGTTCTGTGTCATTAAAGGTGGCGTTAGGTCCCATAGGAAGGACATCTGATAGGAAAAGCCACGCATCTACTGCATCGCTCAAAAAATTGTACTTTCCTTGTTTAGTGCCTGTTACATTGCGTCTGGCATACCAATTACATTTTCGGCGAAGGCCTTTCGTGCTTGAGTGATATATCGGGTTTCTGTTACTTATGAGAGATGTCCTCCGTTTTCTGTACGCCTGACACGGTGTCAGGACAATTTTTGGTCAAGTTTCTTGCCTCTTTTTCTAAGTCACAGTTCCATCTCTAGAATTAAGAAGCATAAATCAGGAGAAACTGGCCGTGAAAAATAACAATGTTCGGTAGAGTATTAGCCCCTAACACTTGAGATGCAGGTGGGATGAATCACATGCTCCCCTGCATTATTCTGGAAGGAGATCCTACATTTGGTAAGTAGACGACTAGAAAATGAGGGGCATTCATGCTTGCTGATGAATTCATAGTTTTGCGTTATAGGAATCTTTTAAGGTTTCGTTGAGGGTCCACTTTGGGCTGGGACCTCAAAGCCATTTTGTCGCTTTGCAGTTTGTTAACTTCTAAACTAACCATTTTGAATAAGTTTTTGGCGGGTAGGTGATAGTAGCCCTCACTGTTAGGCGACTCTCCTAGAGCAAGTGTAAATCGAGTTCCCTCGTGATACTGTAAAAGCTTGTGGCGAGTCGTGTCGTCCATGAACTCGCCATGGTCTGCGCCGCATGACTCTGAAAGAATTGAAGGGATTTCTTTACAGAGAAATTGAATCATCACCTGAAAGTGCTTGTTCCCGTATGTCCTCTGAAAAGAATGAGTGTTTTCAAAGCATCTTTTAGGGGGACTTATGAGTAATTGGGGAAACGTGTGCTCAAAAACTGGCAGTCAGAAATGACTGCGGGACTAGCCGAGCATTTGACTCGATGCGAGCGAATGGAGCCTTCGTCGACTCTTATGCGCTGTGTGGTGCGATCAAGGGCGATCCACCGCGAAACAGGTGGAGCCCAAGAGATTCGGTTAGACTACACGCTTACTTTGCGACGCTTTCACTAGGTGAAATGAGGGATGTGGTAAAGGAAGGGCAGTATAGGCAATGATCCAGCGAATTCGCAATATGAGAGAGTGCGACGATCAGGGTGCTCACATATGCGCTATTTTCTTGATCATTATCCCTTACAGTAGAAAAAGAATGGTACGTACGTGTGTCAAAAGTCTGGCGATATCCAACGCAGAGACCGCAAAGGCTCAACAGAAGAATGCCGAACTGAAATTCTGTCATTTTATATGGAACGAATGTGGTTGTTGGGATTCACACCTACCGTGAACATTTTAGAAAGTTCCGCAGGCGGTGTGATGGGAGCCCAGGTGTGTAGTGAAGTTAGGGAGATGACCGCGGAATATTTATAGGGTTAAACACGAGTTTTGTTTTAACAGCTGACTTCAGAAAGATTTTCATTGCCAACGGCTCTAGTTGCCCTTTTTATTAGTTTTTCATATGCGTCTATGGGCACAGACTGCCCTATACATTGGTTTTTCCATGGGCGCTAGACGCTCTTCTTTGACGAAGCGCAGATGTCGTTCAGTCCACTGACTTAGTTCTGGTGCCGCGTCCATACTTTGCGAGTCGAGCTATGGCTATCGGTGCGATAGTGGCTTCAGTACTCTACCGCTAGTCGTCGGACTGCTTAAACTACTAATGTAGTCATGGTCTGGGCCGGAACGAATGCAGTATGACGCTGTAAACCAACAAATGGCTTCACGGCAGGGTGCAGCATCGTTGAGGAATTCCTGAAGGGATCGTACTCGATCACTGAGAGCAGCGTTTAGTAGATGGAAACGTATTTGGCCGCTATAGAAACCTTTTCCCGAGCACGAGTCAGTTTTTCCTATCAGTCAACTTTTCGATTTTCCCTTCTCCCTGCCCCTTCCTCGGTTTTCAATGATTCTGCGCTGCAGAAATACATACTATGCAACCAGTATTTGAGTTTATTACTTCTTTTCGCTGAGCTCAAAAGTTGAGTGGTGGAATCCCCTCCAACACCCCCCTGGCGGCGATTTTTTTTGGGTAAAAGCTGGGAACGATTCTTAGAAAACATGCAAGAGTGGTAGGGAGTTGGCAGATTTTGGAGCGTGGTAGGTAGAACAAGCGGTGAGGGAGTCGTACTACACGAGAAAATTCCTGGGGTCGTACTACCACTGTTTCACAATACTGTACGCCGTTCACCTTGCTCTTATATAAGTGCTTTATTAAGCAAGCCAGCTTCCTTCTAGCTGTCGACTATGAAGAGTCTCTGCAAGAACGTCGTGACGCAGCTGTGCTCAAGGGGTTCTGTGCCACTTGTCAGAATAAAATTCTTTAGTGTCGGACTCCTTTTTTTTCTCTTTGAAGACAACTTCAGCACATTGG